AAACTTTCGTAATAAAAGTGGAGATATATATATATATATATATATATATAGTCTGTATTTTCCTTCTGTGCCTATGTGACTTTCAAGTTTTGTAATGAATATATCTTACGATTTTAAATCAGGCAATAAAGATTAAAAATATAAGTTGGCATGGAAAAGTGTTGCAGTGATTCCTGGGTCCAACATTGATGAAGTCCGCTTTGTTCATCCTTGTTGCTAGGCTGTGACTTAGGAAGAATTCTTTGATTTGAGCCTCCAGAGAACTAAGAAGAGAGCCAAGTTGCTCCCGGTAGATTAATGGTTCACTTAGAAGTTCCAGAAAACATTTGGTTCATAATAGATGTTCCTCTTCCTGGAAATTGCCCATGGGTGGCCAAGGAACATTGGCAAATTTAAGTTTCCTACTAGCCTTTTGTATTGTACAGAAGATACAAACTTAAAAAGTAAGTAAAAGAAAACCCAAAGAAGTTAGGGAAGAAAAAATGACATGTTTCTAGTCACTGTGACTTGGGGAGGGGATAAAGGCCTCCTGGAATCTCCATTTGACCATTTGCAGGAGGATATATTTAGAGAAGTATTTTTATAGACCCTTTCATACTGGGAATACATTATTTGCATTCTGCACACAGGGAACTTTTTCCCCCCTGCATCTAATTTAAAATAAATTCCAGCCAAAAGTTTGAGAAATTTTTGAACTGTTCTCAATAAAAAGATCATCTGAGTTGAACTACAGGACTATGATGATGCTCTGAAGTTTGACTCTATCCCGAAGATAATGTTTTCCTGGTAAAATAACATTTTGAGGGTTTTGTTAAATGTCTCTCAGCTTTAAAAAATTTTAAATCTCAGCAACAAGTGACAACTTATATGGGGAAAGACTCAGAATAATTTTTACTAGAATGTACAAATACGGGGCGCCTGGGTGGCTCAGTCGGTTAAAGCGGCTGCCTTCAGCTCAGGTCATAATCCCAGGGTCCTGGGATGGAGCCCCGCATCGGGCTCCCTGCTCGGCGGGGAGCCTGCTTCTCCCTCTCCCTCTGCCTGCCACTCTGCCTACTTGTGCTCTCTCTGTATCTCTCTGCCAAATAAATAAAATCTTAAAAAAAAAAAAGTACAAATACTCCAAGTAGATCCTCAGGCCTTTACTTTAGAAATCCACCGGAGTGCCTGGGTGGCTCAGATGGAGGAAGATTGGAGGGATGGCTCCCCGAGGAAATGCGGAGAAAGGAGAAAGTGCTGAGCAGGACAAAACAATGTTCTCGATGACAGTTTTGTCTTTGCCCCTTCACTTAAAAATACCTCACCTAGGGCACCTGGGTGGCTCAGATGGTTAAGTGTCTGCCTTCAGCTCAGGTCATGATCCAGGGTCCTGGGATCGAGTCCCAAGTCGGGCTCTCTGCTCAGCGGGGAGTCTGCCTCTCCCTCTCCCTCTGCCCCTCCCCCTGCTTGTGCTCTCCATGTCCCTCTCAAATGAATAAAATCTTTAAAAAAAAATGTAACAAAGCTGTAGAAATCAGCATTCCCAAATGTCCCACCCCATGGAACTGCAGGTCGCTGGGGTGATCACCACATACGAAGTTTGTGTATAAATTCCCTTTCCTGGATGCAGGATAAGGTTTCAGGGCAAGGAAGCGAAGGTCCTTCCGAGGTGGCCACTCCCACCCTTAGGAAGGAAGCAAGCTGAAATTATCTGATCCTACCCCTAATTCTTAGATTGGGGAACCATGCCTGTCCAGGGCTTTAGATGTCAATGCTTTGACCCTTCTCTTCCCTCCAAGAGGCCAAAGCGGGTACCAGGACCAGGGGAAATTGGACTCAGTGTGGTTGAGAGAGCTGAGCCTCAAAGGAGAGGATGGAGAAATCCCTTTGGGCACAGGTCCCAGTAGATGTCCTGCCAGTAGAGGAGCATCAGAGAGCCCACACACCTTGTGGGGAAACTGGCCCTTAGGAGCTGAGCTGGGAGAGGTACCAGTGGGCTTCAGGGGAAAGACTTCCTGCCGCTCTCCCCAGGAAGTACCATTTTATAGGGGTAAAGATTGCTGCAGGCTGAGGGAGAGAAAGAAGAGTGGGTCCCAGAGACTCCCCCACATGGTGTTTGGCTGTGTGCCATCCCTCTTCCCTAGGGAACCCAAGGTAAACAGCCACACTTGATTGGCTTGAGTGTGTCCCAAGACTGGGAAAACCCCTGACTCATGTCCGTAATTGGGGTCCAGACAATACAAACACTACAGACAGATAAGGGGGTCTGATGGAAGCCAGATTACAAGGAGAGACAGGAGGGGGAATCCTTAAACCACCATCAGTGTAGACAGTCTGGGTAGGCCTGGCCTCTGGAGAATTACAAGGAAAAGACCATGGTTTAGGACTTGGTGTGGGACTAGCCTGAACATGTCCTGTTCCAGCCTCCTGAGTGGTTAAGTGTCCCCATCCCCAGACAATGGGAAGATTCTGGTTGAGAGGATGCTAAGACTAGAGTCCCCACAAATCCTTGTGAAACTTTAACAACATAACCCAGGTAGTTAGAACCAGCTCATACTAGCTTCTGAGAGCTGATTATACCCATTTCTTCCCCATTCTCTGCAGTAATACCATGTTGGTGGTTTGAAATTCACCACAGTGGTACTGGTAAATGCTATAAACCAGGGCTCCTGATTAGTACAATTCTCCCCCAAGAGCACTGGTTGCTAATCACCTATCGGCACACCACCGGACGGAAGAAGGAAAAGGCCAAAGAGAGAGGTGAACACGGAGAACATCCCTCCATCAGTGGAGGAGGGAAGAGGCATCAGCAGAGGCTGGGGAGTGAGAAAGCAAGCCTTTTGGGTCGTTTCTGTTGGTGGGTCTTTGTTATTCATTGCTTAATTACCATTAGGGTAAGCAATGTGTTCTAGCTGACCCTATATATTGTTACTTAGCGGACTCCAATAGACTGTTAAAATCTTGTTAGAAGCTCTAATTGGGCAGGTAGGGATGAAACAGTTATTTAAGAATTTGAGGGCAGAGAGGTCCTTTTCAAGAGGCTAGACATCCTAGGACTGTATAGATTACATAAATAATACGATAAACACTTTGATGCTTGCATCATTATCTGCAGTTTGGATTACTTCTCTAGAACAGATTCTTGAAGCATTACCGTGTAGAAGAGTGTTTTTGTTTATGACACTGTTAATACCACCAAATTGCTCTTCCTGACAGGATGTACCAACTTACACCCATACCAGCAAAATATGTGCCCGTTTCACCACAGTCTTGCCAATGTTTCCATTTTTTAAATATTAGATAATGTGGTCAGTGAAAGGTGATATTTCATTGTCGATTTTAATTTGCTCCTCTTTTCTCAGAGTGGAGCTCATTTCTCCGTGGGATGGCTCCTCTGGGTATTTGCTCCCTCAAACGCATGCGTCCACCTGTGCCTGCCCCCCACAGCCTGAGCTTGGTTGGCTGGGTGGGTGGGTGGGTAGGTTGGAATTCTGCAAGATCTGAGGGGCGCTGCCGAGGAGTTGCCAGGTGAGACACTGCTCAAATGCCAACTGAGGAGAATGGACCACCGCAGGCTTCTCAGCAATGTTGAGGCCAGAGGTCCTCTCTGGTCAAGCTGTGCCAACACAACCCCCCATTCAGGATCCCTGCTCCCTGCGACACCGTGGGCACCTTCCTGAAATTCTCTGAGCGGAAGGGGGTGCCTCCAAAGAGACAAAACTCTTCCACTCAAGTCGTTTTCCTGAATCCACCAGGTCACGACAGGTAACGGTTTGCTTTTCTCTACAAGCTGTTTGAAATACAGACTTTGTAGCTTGTATTTTGGGGGACAAAGCCCTAGTTACCTCTCGTTCACCGCCCCTCCCTCCCAGTGTGGTTCCCAAGGCCCCACCGTGTCCCAGTACCTGTGGCAGCCCAAGTGCTTTCAGGAGCCTCCTTGGTGCCTCACCCGAGCCCTTGAAGGCAGGTGCTGGAAAAAGGAGGTGTCCTCGCAGCTCTTCGTGACTGTCTGCCTGGGCGGCCACATCTGGGGCTCACCGGTCCACCGGCTTAGCCTGAGGCCTGCTTCCGGCCTGGTCTGGCCTTGGGGGCCTGCGCACAGCGACCAGGCGGGAGGACCAGTCCCCAACCAACCCCGGCTTCCAGCACTCGGCGCCTTCCCCACCAGGCAGTCCGCTCCCCCCTCCCCCCCGCCCCGACCCCGATGCGCAGGCCACATGGCTCCGGGGCAGGCTGGGAGCGGGGGTCGGGGGTCAGTCGAGGTCCTGAGGGGCCCATCTGCACGAGACGCACAGCGTCCTCCCGGGTGCTGGAGCGGGAGCAGCGCTTCTGCTCCCCGGGCTGAACTAGTCCGGCCCAGCGCCTGAAACCCTGGCGGCGCTGGTTAGTAAGATGGGAGGATGTGGGAACCGTTTGTCAACTGCTCGTATTTCTTAACTCCGGCCGGGACTGGGGGAGCCGCCTCCAGCTCAGCCCGCGGGAATCCGGGACCTTTCTAGAGGCCCGACGGCCCTGGCGCACGGCGGCGCCCGCCTCGGTCCGCCGCGCCACCGCCGCCGCTTCGGCCCGCGAGGCCGGCTCCCCGCTGCAAGCCCCGGCGTCCCGGCCCAGCCTCCGCGCCCCTCCAAGCTCCCGGCGAAGCGCGGCCACCGCCGCTCCGCCGCCGCCGCCGCCGCCACTCCCCCCACATTCCAGAGGCCGCAGCGCCGTCTCCTTCCTCGCATTCCTGCCCCCACAAAGGAGTCCCTCCGCCCCCCGCGCGGCCGCCGGGAGGAGGGGGCGCGGCCCGGCGCCTACGAGCGCGCATTCCTCCGCCGCGCGCGCCACTCAGCGGAGCGCCGCGGCCCCCGGACCGCGCGTGGCCGGCGGAGCGACCCCGGCCCGGCGCCGGCCCCGCCCCGCCCCGCGCCCAGGGGTCCCGGGGCGGGCTCCGGGCTTGGAGCGGACGATGCGGCGGCGCGGCCGGAGCGGCGGCGGGAAGCGGAGGCGGAGGTGACGCGCCGGGGCCGGCGGGCCGGGCCATGCAGCGCTCCCGGGCGGCTGCGGACGAGGCGGCCCTGCTCCTGGCCGGGCTGGCCCTGCGGGAGCTGGAGGCGGGCGGCGACTCTCCAGGCCGGGGTCGGCGGGGGCCGCGGCCCGGGCCAGGAGACGAGGCGGCGCAGGCGCTGGGCCGCAGAGGGAAGGGCGGCGGCGGCGGCGGCCCCGAGGCCGGGCCGGACGGACTGAGCCGTGGGGAGCGAGGCCCGCGACGCGCGGCGGCCCCCGAGCTCAGCGCGCAGCCTGCGGGCAGCCCGCGGGCCAGCCTGGCGGGCTCCGACGGCGGCGGCTGCGGCAGCGCCCGCTCCAGCGGCATCAGCCTGGGCTACGACCAGCGCCACGGCAGCCCGCGCTCCGGCCGCTCGGACCCGCGCCCCGGCCCCGGGCCGCCGTCGGTGGGCAGCGCCCGCTCCAGCGTGTCCAGTCTCGGCTCCCGCGGCTCGGCCGGCGCCTACGCCGACCTGCTCCTGTCCGGCGCGGGTCCCGCGCCCACTCGCTCCCCGGAGCCTGCGGGGCCGGCCCCCTTTCCTCTGCCTTCGCTGCAGCTGCCCGCGGGCCGAGAGGGCGGCCCGAGCGCGGCGGAGCGGCGGCTGGAGGCGCTGACCCGCGAGCTGGAGCGGGCGCTGGAGGCGCGCACGGCGCGGGACTACTTCGGTGAGCGAGCCCGGCCGCGCCGCCCTCCGCGCCCGGCCCGAGCCCCCCGCCGCCGTCGGGGTGGGCCGCGCGGAGAAAAGCGTGTCTCGGTGGGGCTGGGGGGGGTGGGGGGGGTGAGTGAAAGCCGCAGGGTCCGAGGTTTATTTAGAGCGGCGACTTCGCCTGTGAGTCTCCGGCCGAGGAAGGGGTTCTGGCCAAATGAGTTGGTGCACTCACTGCTCTTCAGTTGAGGAACAAGTCCTGTCGGTAGGCGGAATTAGCCGTTTTCGGATCATTTCTTCTTCATCCTTAGCGTTTGCCTCTGCTCATCCTGCATTGCGCTTTGTGATCGTCAGTGTAGGACCCCGCGGTGCTGGTGTGCCCGTAACTCCCAGCAGTGTGGGGAGTGGATAGGAGCAGGGAGGTGGACTGGGCCAGGTGCCACGGGACCCTCCTGACCCGAAGCTTTGGTAATGGCAGTGACCGGAGGCAGAGTGTGTGAGGGAGGGGAAGCCCACCCTGAGGTGTAAGGGGACCAAGCCGGTCACACTGGGCTGTCCTTGCTCTGGGCTGTGCTGCGTATATGGGCTGTTTCCAAAGGGAGTCCTGCTTCGCAGCAGTTACAAAGCGCACCAGTCTCTGACATCCTCTGTTTCCCAGTCAGACCCTGGCCTCCCCATCCCTAAAGTTCTTTGGATAACTCGTAGGACTCTTAACTGCGGTCCCTCCCTCCCTTACGGATAAATAAGGAGGAAGGCGGAGGCACCTGGCTTTGAGCGGGCGCGGGTGGGAGTGCTTATCAAGCCCAGCAGGACCGAGGCTGTCCAGGGGTTTGTATCTTTCATGCGTTCATTCCAGCCAGCAGCTCAGGACCGCCCTGAACTGGATCTTGAGGGAGGAGGAGGCTGTATGTGACAGACTAGGTGGGGGCATTCCGGGCAGGAGAAAGAATGTGGGCCAAGGGAGGCGAGTAAGGATGTGCATTGTTCCACTCTGCGCCCAGGGTGACAGCCTGGGAGGGCTCAGGTGTTCAAGGGAGTGTCTGGGCCGCAGGGTCGGTCTGCCCTTGGGATGGGGCTCGCCCAGAAGGGTTTCAGGCCCATCTGGAGAGTTGGGGTGAGAATGTGTGGTTTGTTAGGTCTTGCGGCTGTCGGTCGGGTGGCTTGGGAGCGCCGAGATGGGTCAGGAAACTGTTTCCTCTCCTGCTGGGCAGGTGCCAGGAGCCGAAGCTGCGGTGGTCTTCTTAAGAAAACGTCTCCTGTGCTCTCTTCAGGCGAGACTGCTTGTGTCCTGTCTCCCTGCACTGCAGGGCCCCGGGGGGGTGGGGGTGGGTTCTGTGAGCCTCCGCAGCTGCTCATGGCTCTTTGTGTGAAGCTGAGCTGGCCAGACCCAAGCAGGTAGTGGGAGAGTGAAGGGCTGAAGCTGGTGGGTCATCCTTTCTAAAGGGGCCCAAGGGAGCCACCGAGGAGTGGGAGGCGAGGGATGGTAGGTCTTCTTTTTTCCAAGGGAAACCAGATCTAGGTAACATTTTCCTAATTTATAAAAATATGGGCAACTATCTGCTTGAATTGCTGATAACTTAGTGCTGATATTTGAGTTTTGGGAGCTCTAAAAAGGGGCAGTTTCATTCAGTTCAACTTGAATAATGCATGGTTCTGCAAAAGGAAGTCGGCAGGTAGCATGAGCTCAAAAGGGCTGTCTGATATTCCACATCCTCCGTGTGTTTCTTCCTCTCTGTGCCATCCCCCCTTCTCCTTGGCCTTGACACTTGCTGACCTCCTGGCCCCTCTCTCCGTTCATTGACATCTTTGGAACGTTCCCTTGTCTCCTCACCAAGTTCCACCGCCCTTAGCCAGCCAACAGCCTCGGGCTTGCGGAACCTTTTTTTTTTCCCCAGAACCTCTTTGGTGACCTTCCTCCCTTCTCTGGAGCCACCTCCTCCCAGGGCCACACCCTGTTTTTCCATCCTCGGGCGGTCTTCAGTTCTGACTGCCACCTGGTCTCACTGGTTCCTCGAATCCCCTCTGCCCCGCAGACCCCCGACTCCGAATCAGTGCCCCAGCACCCTTTTTTGCTGCTATACTGGGGGTGGGGGGTGGGGTGATGGTCTTGACCCCCTGTGATCTTCTGGGCACCACCCGTCGCCCTAAGCCTTGGTCCGTTTTCCCTCTTTTATTCCCTCAACAATCTTCCTGTCTCTCTGGCTCTTGCGCTTGCTTTCGACTTTGCTGAGAAAGTTGAGGTCCGCAGTTGCAGGCCGCCTGTTACCCTCTGGGTGTCAAGTCCACGTCCAGAGCTGAGGACCACAGTCATTTCACCTCCAACCCCCAACTCCTCCACCTTCGGCTTTCCTCTTTCCACTGGCCCTTTTTCTTTGGTTATAAGGATATACAAAGGGTCTTCCATTAAAAAGAAAAGAAAAGAAACAAGGCGAGGAAGAAGCAAACCCACTCTTGTATGGCCACAAAGGCTCGCTGCATGCTCACCCTTCCTGCCTGCAGTCTCCCCTCATGGGACTGAGCCGACTCTTGCACAGGACCCTGGTGACGCCCGAGCCCAGCCGGTGCTTGCCAGGCCTTGGCCTCTCACTGTTACATCCCACAGGTGGTGTCCACTCTCTCCAAAATGCTGCACTCCCTGAATTTTGTGCGGACTCCGTGCTCCTGGTTCTCTTTCTTCGGTGTCTTTTTATTAAAGTGATGCAAGCACGTATTTAGGAAAAAAAAAGCAAACAGAAGCAAAAGTGAATCCTACAGAGTCATAGCCTCCCCTCCTGTCCCGCCTCCCGTCCTGCTTCCCACGGGGCAACTGACTTTCACTCTTCACCACGGATTCTGGTAACTTAGGAACGTGACAAGGTCAGGTGTTCGGAGGTGATGGACAAGGGTAAGGGGGAGGCGGTTGGTTATTTTCACTTTAGAAAGATGAGTCTAGCAGCAGTTTGCAGGATGGACTGTTCGGGGCCGGGCGTTGAGGACGCTCTTGAAATGGCCTTTGGGATGAGAGTTGGTGACGTTGAATCAGGCCACTGGAAGTGAGGGGAAGGGAATGAAGTGGCAATCAGGGAATAGAGGAGCTGAGATTCAGCGTTGGAGGTGACAAAGAGAGGGTAGACCTAGATGCTTCCCGAAACCCAGCTACACGCAAGTGCTGTTTCCCGAGCCGGAACCCGGAGGCAAGAGCAGTTCTGTGGGAAATCCAGAGCTCTGTTCCGGATCTGCAGTGGTCTGGGGCCTGCTGGGAGGTGGATCCGTGACTCAGGGGAGAGGTCTGGGCTGGGGCAGAGCGCCAGGAGCCCTTGGCAGGGGGTGAGGCGTTGAGCCGTGGGTGGGACCCTGGGCAGCCCGGGTACAGCCGCGTGTGGAGACCTGCGGGCCTGGTGTGTTTGGCGTCTGCATTTTCAAAACATGTAAGTTAGTAATTGAGGGCAGAAAGATTTCACATACAAATCTAGATTTCTAGCTTCTTTGGAAAATTTTGACCCCTTAGCAACTCTGGGCCTGCGTTCCCACCCAGTAGCCATCCACAGCCGAGGCTCTGGTTCTCCATTCACCTGGGTCCCCCTCGGCCGCCTTGGCGTGCCTGCCTGGTTTTGAGGACATCCGAGCTGGCCCTCCTTCCCCTGGGGAGGCCGAGGAATGGGAGGCCCAGGACAGTGCAGGGAGCTCCCACTAGGGCTGGGACGGGAGAAGAACCAGAAAGTTAGGTGTGGGTCAGATCCTGGAAAGGAAGGAGGAGGAGCCGGTCCACCTCTAGAGCAGGGTCAGGACGGAAAGCCTGGAGGTCTTGCACAGTCAGGAGACGGCTGAGTGTGGACTGAGCTTTCTTGACTTGGGGCAGTGGTGATAGGCGAGAGGCTCAGCCATGGTTAAATGCTAACGAGAGAGATCTGGGAGAAAGCAGGAGAGATGGTGAGGGCAGCATGTCCTGGAGCAGGCAGCAGACTTAAGGTCTAGAAGCCCATCTTCATGCCCTGGGGGGTGTGGGAGACCCTGGGTAACTGAAGGGGACTTCCGGGCTGGCGGCCTACGTTCTGGGTCCCTGGCATTGCTGGTCACCCTTTTCCTTACTTCCCCTTCCCTGCCTGCTGGGCACTGTGCTGCTAGGGGTGGTCCTCGATTCCCTCCAGGAATCCCTGATGCTTGCATGGCACCTTCCTCCCTGATTTCTTTTAGACCGTAGCTCAAATGTCACCCTGTCACCGGGGTCTTCTCCTTCATCGTCCTATTTAAAACTCACACACTCAGGTAGATACTTAGTCAGCCCTATTTTCCTCCATAGCACTTATTTACCTCTTGTCATCTGTCCGCCTCCACGGGCGCAGAGGCTCCTCGAGGCTGGGGACCCTTGGTGCATGGCAGAATCTCCAGCACCTAAACTGTGGGGTATGTGGTAGCGCAGCAATGTCGACCGACGTGCTGGTTAAACAAAAGAATAGATTCACCTTCTGCTCCAGATGAGGAAAGCAGGGCTGGGGGAGCTCAGTGACCCTGCCCTGGTTATGCCTGTGTGCTCTTTATTCTTTCTGGCTCAGAGACAGCGGAAAGGATTTTGTGTCAACCCAAGAACAGGTCACTGGTGAAGGGGCTCAGAATGACTTTCTAGTATTAACATGTCATTAATAGGGGCGCCTGGGTGGCCTAGTCAGTTAAGCGTCTGCCTTCGGCTCAGGTCATGACCCCAGGGTCCTGGGATCGAGCCCCGCATCAGGCTCCTTGCTCAGCGGAGAGCCTGCTTCTCCCTCTCCCTCTGCTCCTCCCCCTGCTTGTTCTCTCTTGCTTTCAAATAAATAAATAAAATCTTAAAAAAAAAAAAAAGATTATTGAGAGAGAGAGAGAGAGCATGCGCACGAGCACATGGGAGCAGGGAGAGGGGCAGAGGGAGAGGGAGAATCTCAAGCAGACTCTGCACTGAGCACGGAGCCCAACGTGGGGCTCAATCTCACCATCCTGAGATCACAACCTGAGCCGAAACCAAGAGTCAGACACTTAACCAACTGAGCCACCCAGACTCCCCGCATGTCATTAACATTTTGCTGGCAAGGATGGTATTGGTGAGCCCTGACTCTGTGCTGGGTACTCTCCTTACCTCTTTGAGTCCTCAAACAACCACGAGCACAAAACCCAGGATACCCGTATTGTTCCCACGTCAGCCATTAGTAACTGAGCGGCGGAGGCCTTGGGAAGTTCATTCGCCCAAGGTCAGGCAGCATCAGGGCAGTTCTGGTGCTAACCTCGGCTCTCTCCTGCCTCTCTTCCCTTAGGCATCTGCATCCAGTGTGGGCTTGGCATCTACGGAGCAAGGCAGGCGTGCCAGGCAATGGGGAGCCTGTATCACACAGATTGCTTCACCTGCGACTCCTGTGGTAGGTAACCTCTTCCTTGGCCCCCTTGCACCACGGACCCCCTTGCACCTAAGTCCGAAGCAGATGGAGGACCACCCAGCTCTGGCCCGGGTGGAGCGTGGAGGAAGCTGAGTTGTAGCCCCTTTCCTTCTGGACCTGGACTGTTCGGGAGGCCCAGACCCCTGGGAGATCTGCTGGGCCCTGGGGAGGGAGGCGTGGAACCAGGGAGGAGAGGTTCCTGGCCATAGGGAAGGTCTGCCCCTGGGGCCCTCGGCGTTGGGGCCTCCCTCCTGTGCAGGCTGCTGATGTCTCCTGGCTGCCTGGGTGTGGGGCTGATACTTCTTTTCCCTGCAATGTACCTTTTCTCCCAATTTGACACACAGTATAAACTATAAATGTTATAATGTAAGTAGACAAAGTTGTAAAAAGAAAAAAGTAGCTGTTACCCAACCAACCTAATAAATCTACACTCTTAATTCTACTACCATTCCTTCAGGCTTTGTCCCCAAGCAAATGTCTTTCATTTATTTACACTAAGCATTTTAATATTTTATTTTATAGAAGTGTAATTCGTGCACAGTGTTAAGTCAGGTAGTCCCGAGAAGCTATTTTTATTTTTTTTAAAGATTTTATTTATTTATTTAATTGAGAGAGAGAGACAGCGTGAGAGGGAACACAAGCAGGGGGAGCAGCAGAGAGGAAGGGAGAAGCAGGCTCCCACTGAGCAGGAAGCCCGATGTGAGGCTCGATCCCAGGACCCCGGGATCATGACCTGAGCCAAAGGCAGTTGCTTAACCAACTGAGCCACCCAGGCGCCCCCCCGAGAAGCTATTTTTGCAATAGCAAAAAACCACTCATTTTTCCACTCCTGGTCCCATTCCCCAGCAGCAACCGCTTGATATTTTTTTAGCAATTTCTAGATCTAGTAGACACCTTTCTATCTATAACGAGCATACGTTGCTCTTTTTTCTTTAATTTTAAGATTTTATTTATTTATGTATTTATTTATTTATTTATTTAGCGCAAGCAGGGATGTGTCACTTTTAGCCTTACTTTTGCTATGACAGATGAGGAACACGTTCTTACACTACCCGTTTCTCTTTCTTCGGTTTTCTCAGTGTACTCCCATCATAAATTGCAGTTAAGTCAGTCATCCAGGTTTATGTTACTTTGACTATTTAAAAATTCACCGCAGAGCCAAGAATTATACTGTGATTACATTTCCCCCCCCCCTTTTCCCCCCTTATAGTCTTTTACTTTTCCTGGAGTTTTTTTTTTTCTTTTTTTAACCTTTTTTCCCCTTGTATTGGCTTGTTTCATCATATCTTCTCCCCCACCCCAGGCTCCATTATATAAGGCATCCTACTGAATTTCCATTGGAAGACTCAGTCTGAGTTGGTTGTCCTCTGGACCCCTGTGGAGTGCCCATTCTGTGTCTTCCTGTGTATACTCCCTGAATTGAATCCACTATTTCCTGGAAGCTTTTTGCTGGGGATGACAGAGAAGGTGCTGAGGAGGCTTAAACTTGGAAAATATTTTTTGGCTAAGTGAACTGGGAGCCCAGAGATAGGGCTGGCTTCAGGTTGGGATTGATCTAGTGCCTCAGGCCCTATGAGTAGCTTGGCTGGGTTTCCCTTGGGTTTGGCTTTTTCCTTAGGGCAACTTCTCTTATGGTGGTGAAATGTCTGAGACTTCTATGATACCCCACTAGTCTGGAGGAAGAGGGGGCATCTCTTCTAGTTATGTTTTTAGAAACTTCTTTCCTAGAAAGCACCTAACAAATATCTTTTTGTATGTCATTGGCCAGAGCATCTCACACATCCATTCCTGACCCAGTTTCTTGAGTGGTGGGGAGGCCTATGATTGACTGACTTGCCTGAGTCTCTGAATAATACCGTAATAAGGGAAGAGAAGTTATCTTTATACTAGTGTAGCCCATCCATGGATAATGGGAGTGGATTCAGGTTTCCCTTGAATGAGCCAGGTTGGCTGAGGTAAGGTTGGATACTGAACAACTTGGAGGAGAAGGAAGGAATCAAAGCTGTGAAGCACTGCCTACAAGATTTTGCTATCGTTCTCTAAGAAAGGGCACGTGGGAGGTCAGTGTTCTGAATTCTGCTATGTCTGAAATGCCTTTACTCTACCCTCGTACTAGATTTGGAATAGATTTCCAAATTTGAAACAATTTTCACTCAGCCTTTTATTTTTTTAGAGATTTTATTTTTAAGTAATCTCGACATCCAACATGGGGCCTGAGCCTACAACCCTGAGATTAAGAGTCGTACTCCCCGAGGACTAAGCCAGCCAGGCACCTCTCCCTCAGCATTTTGAAGTCATGGTTTCGTCTTCCAGCAGCCACTGTTGCAGCTACATTCTGACGCCATCCTGATTCGCGTTTGTGTGTGTGTGATCCACGTTTTCCTTTGGGGAGCTCTTGGGAGGAGGTCTGTCATGTTGCACAAATCCTGGCTATAATGGCCTCTGGAAATGGCTGTGTTCTGCACACGGTGGCGCCATTTACGTAGATATAACACAGTGGTGCTTCTGACGTCGTACAATACAGCAGTAGCCTGACTTAGGATATCTTATTTATGTTTAGTGTAGGCTTTTAGCCATTGTGGGTGCGCTGGGCACACACAGAGCCCTCTTGGACTGGAGATTTGCCTCCTCAGTTCTGGGATTTTTTTTTTTTTTTTTGGTACTATTTATTTTATTCCCGTCTTTTTTCCTCCGGAACTGAATTCACCAGTGTTTAATCAAGATAATACATTATGTCCAAGTTGAGTTTATTTGAAGAATCCTAGGGTGGATTCACATTAAAAAATTCATTAATGTAGGCATGCCTGGCTGGCTCAGTCGATAGAGCATGGGACTCTTTTTTTTTTTTTAAGATTTCATTTATGTATTTGAGAGAGAGAGCAAGAACAGGGGGAGGGAGAGGGAGAAGCAGACTCCCCATTGAGCAGGGAGCCCAATGCAGGGTTTGATCCCAAGACCCTGGGATCATGACCTGAGCTGAAGGCAGAGGCTTAAATGACTGAGCCTGGACCCAGGTGCCTCTGAAGATTCAGGTCTTTTATCAATTTGGGGAAGATCTCAGCTATTTCATTTTCAAAAGTTGCTTCTCTCCCATTCTGTTATTTATTTCTAGAATTCAGGTTAGGAGTATTAGACTTTCTCATTCTTTTGTGTCTTTTTTTTTTTTTAAAGATTGTATTTATTTGTTTGAAAGAGAGAGAATAAGCGTGGCGGGGGGCGGGGTGTTGGGGCAGAGGGAAAGGGAGAAGCAGGCTCCCTGCTCAGAGCCAGATGTGGGACTCTATCCCAGGACCCTGGGATCATGACCTGACTTAACCGACTGAGCCACCCAGGCACCCCTCTATTGTGTCTCTTAATCTCTTCCTCTCATATTATCCATTTCTCTGTCTCCCATTCTGTTTAATTTCCTCAGATCTGTCTTCCAGAAGCCAGGATCCAGATCATTTTTTTTCTCTTCAGCTGTCTTTAATCTCCTATTGAACTCTTTCACTGAGTTTTTCATTTCATTGATTGGATTTTTTTTTTTTTCTAGAAGTTCTCTTTGGTCCTTTTTTCAAATCTGCCTCAACATTTTTGATAGTGTCTTGCTTTTTATCACGATTGAAAATACATGAAGAGTGTAAAACATACTAATCTTGAGTGTATTACAGCTTGATACATTTGTACCTGTCTATGTGCCCATGTAATCACCATTCAGATCAAGGTACAGAACATTTCCATCATCCCAGAAGATTACCTTATGCCCCTTCCAGTCATCAGTACATGACTTTTAAGCTGTACTGATGATCACCATAATTTGGTGATTATAAATAAAACTGTTGTATTGTGTCTATGTCCATTGACAGATCTTTATACTTATTTTTATTTTTTTTAGATTTTATTTTATTTTTTTAAAGATTTTTTATTTATTTATTTTGACAGAGAGAGACAGCGAGAGAGGGAACACAAGCAGGGGGGAGTGGGGGAGGGAGAAGCAGGCTTCCCGCTGAGCAGGGAGCCCGATGTGGGGCTCGATCCCAGGACCCTGAGATCATGACCTGAGCCAAAGGCAGACGCTTAACGACTGAGCCACCCAGGCTCCCCTAAGATTTTATTTTTAAGTAATCTCTACACCCAACATGGGGCTCGAACTCACAACCCTGAGATTGAGTCGCATGCTCTACATACCGAGCCATCCAGGCGCTCCTATACTTACTTTTCTAGCAGTGGAGTTTCTGGGTCCTGGAGTCACTCTAATATATGCTGCTAAGCACTTTACCGTAGTAGACGAAGCAGTTTATTATCCCATTGGCAATGTATTAGAATTCCAGTTTTTCCTCATTCCCGCCAGCATGAAGCATTGTCAGTCTTCAGCCATTCTAGTGGGGGTGGCGTGGTATATTAATGAGATTTTTTTTTTAAGATTTTATTTATTCATTTGACAGAGAGAGACACAGCGAGAGAGGGAACACAAGCAGGGGGAGTGGGAGAGGGAGAAGCAGGCCTCCCACGGAGCAGGGAGCCCGATGCGGGACTCGATCCCAGGACCCCGGGATCATGACCTGAGCCGAAGGCGGACGCTTAACGACTGAGCCACCCAGGCGCCCCTATTAATGAGATTTTAATGGGAATCTCTCTGATGCGTAGTGGAGGCTCATATACCTTTTTATGTCTGTTGGCCATTTGAATGCCTTTGTTTGTAAAATGACTATTGAAGTCTTTTGCCCATTTCTAAATTGGGTTGTTTGACTTTTATTGATTTATAGGAGTTCTGTATGCATCTTGGATACCGGGTTCTGTGTTGGATATATGTGTTGTAAATTCCTTTCCTGACCTATTCTTGCTTCATTACCTTCTTAATGATGTCTTCTGATGAAGAGAAATTCTTAGTGAAGTCCAATTTATCTTTGTTTTCAGTTACCGCCTTTAACGTCCTGTCCAAGAAGTCTTTGTAGTGTCAGGTTTCGGACATCTGTTTTTATTTTGTAAGCATATTAAATACTCGCGTTCTGTGTCCAATAATCCTAATATCTAATGTCTTTGAAGTCCTGCCTCAGTTGTTTATTGTTTCTCTTCACTCTTGGCCGTGATACCTTGTTTCTTCACATGTTTTCATCATTTTTGATTGTGGAGGTCTGTCTGCGGGAATTGGGTGAGGTCTGTGTAGAGGGGGGTTTCCCCAGGGCGTCTTTTCAAACTTTAGTAAGAAAAGTTTTAAACTTGAATAGGGGGCAAAATTGTTTTTCTCTTATGAGTATTTTGGCAAGTCTCCATCAATCTTCCAGCACTTCTTTACTGTGGCACATAACGTTTCAAGTTTATCTTTGTGTGTGTGTGTGTAACTGAGTTCAGGTTACAGATGGTATAGCAAACAGATCTTAAGTATATAGTTCAAAGACTTTGGATACATGTATATGTTTATGTATCTCACACCCCTAACAAGGATACAGAAAAATTTTAACATCCTAGGAACTCTAATCTTGCCCTTTTTTAGTTGATGCCCAGTATTTCCCATCACACCTGCTCAATCAATGTTCTGATTTCTCCCACCATAGATTAGTTTTGTCTCTCCTAGAACTTCATATAAATGAAGTCGTAGATTATGTCCTATTTTGTGGCTGAATTTTTTTTTTTTTTTTTGCTAAACGTTATTTTTTTTAAGTCCCTGTGTCTTTTTTAAATGATTTTATTTACTTATTTTTAAAAATTTTATTTCTGTATTTGACACAGAGAGAGAGAGCACAAGTAGGGGGAGTGAGAGAGGGAGAAGCAAGCTCCCCGCCAAGCAGGGAGCCCGATGCGGGGCTCGATCCCAGGACCCTGGGATCATGACCCGAGCCGAAGGCAGACGCTTAATGACTGAGCCACCCAGGCACTCCTACAGATTTTACTTTATTTTTTTTTTAAAGATTTTATCCATTTATTTGAGAGAGAGAGAATGAGAAATAGAGAGCACGAGAGGGAAGAGGGTCAGAGGGAGAAGCAGACTCCCTGCTGAGCAGGGAGCCCCATGTGGGACTCGATCCCGGGACTCCAGGATCATGACCTGAGCCGAAGGCAGTCGCTTAACCAACTGAGCCACCCAGGCGCCCCTACAGATTTTATTTTTAAGTAATCTCTACACCCAACGTGGGGCTCAAACTTAGCCCCAAGATCAAGAGTCGCCAGCTAGGCGCCCCTAATCCACGTATTATTAATAGCTCACTCGTTTTTATTGCTGAGTATGATTTTATTGTATGAATCTACCACAAGTTGTGGTAGATGCACACACTGATGGATTGTGCTGTGAACATTCTCATACAGGTCATTTGTGGACAAATGTTTTCATGTCTCTCTTGGGTAAATTCCAAGGAGTGGAATTTCTGGGTCATAGGCTAAGTGTATGTTTAACTTCACAAGAGATTGCCATACTTTTCCAAAGGGGTTGTGCCATTTTCATACTCCCACTAGAAATGTTAGGGATGTATTATTCTACATGTTTGCCAACCATTGGCATTTTCGTCTTTTTAATTTTAGCCATTCTAATGGATGTGAAGTGGTATCTTGTGGTTTTAATTTGCATTTCCCTGATGACTAATAAGGTTGAGCTGCTTTTTGTCTGCTTCTTGGCCATCTGTATCTTCTTTTATGAAGTCTGTTCAGGTCTTTGGCTCAGCTTTTGAATTGAGAGTTACTTTAAGTCTTTTATTATTTCGTTGTAAGAATATATATATTCTGAATACAAGTCCTTTTCAGATGTGTGTTTTGTGAATATTTTCTCATAGTACTTTTTTTTTTTAAGTGGGCTCCAAGCCCAGCATGGAGCCCAGTGTGGGGCTTGAACTCATGACCCTGAGATCAAGACCTGAGCTGAGATTAAGAGTCGGACACAACCAACTGAGCCACCCAGGCACCCCAATTTTCTTTTCTTTCTCTTTCTTTTTCTTTCTTTCTTTCTTTTTTTTTTTCTTTCTTTCTTTCAAGATTTTATTTATTTATTTGACAGAGAAAGACAGCAAGAGAGGGAACACAAGCAGGGGGAGTGTGAGAGGGAGAAGCAGGCTTCCCGCTGAGCAGGGAGCCCGATGTGGGGCTCGATCCCAGGACTCTGGGATCATGACCTGAGCCAAAGGCAGACGCTTAACTGACTGAGCCACCCAGGCATCCCGCCCCTATTTTCTTATAGATAATTTAAAAATATATTTAATGATATCTATATCTGTCTATATATTTTTAAGTTTATTTATTTTTTTAGTAATCTCTATACCCAATGTGGGGCTTGAACTCATAACCGGAGATCAAAAGTCACATGCTCCACTGACTGAGCCAGCCAGGTGCCTCTTAGGTTTCTCATTTTTATGTTTAGGTTGATAACCCACTTCATATTATACTTTTTTTTTTAAAGATTTTATTTATTCATTTGAGCGCAAGAGTGTGAGAGAGAGAGAGCACGAGCTGGGAGGGGGGATGTGGCAGAGGGAGAGGGACAAGCAGACTCCCTGCTGAGCAGGGAGCCCGACATGGGGCTCATTCTCAGGACCCCGAGATCATGACCTGAGCCAAAGTCAGATGCATAACCGACTGAGCCACCCAGGTGCCCCTCATTATATACTTTTGTGTGTAGTGTGAGGTGAGGAATTGAGTTTCATTTTTGTTTCGTATTTCTTTTTTTTTCTCCACTTGTCACAGCACCATGTGCTGAAAAGACTTTGCTTTCCCACTTGTGTGTTTATTGAAATATTTATGGGCCATTTTTGCACTCTTTTCTGTTTCACTGATCTTTCTGTCTTTCCTTACCCCAATGTTACACAGTCTTGATTATTTGAAGTCTTCAGATAGGTAGTGTAAGTCTCCAAGCATTGTTGATCTTTTGCAAGATTATTCGGCTATTTTAGGTTCTTTGTATTTTTATATAAATTTTAGAATTGGAAGTCAGCCCTCAACACAAGGCTTTGAAAGAAGAAAAAACAAAATTAGAATTGGCATGTCAGTTTCCGCAAAAAAATGAGAATGCTGGGATCTTAAATGCGTGGCATTGAAGTCTAGATCAGTTTGGGGAGAATTAATATCAGGATGTTTGAAGCCATGAAGATGATTGTCAAGGACTGAGATTTTTCTCCTTACTTGTAAGCTGACATGTTTATCTGCCACTGTTTCGCTGATGCTGACTGAAGACACGAGCCCCCTGGGGCAGAGGCGTATAGCCCTGCAGACAGGATGAGCTTCACCTCTGAATCATTCTGCATGCCCTTGAGTCCCACAGGGGTGATGCAGAGGGGCCCAGGTGGATGCTGCACATGTAGTCGGTCTATGTCAAGGCTAGGGAACCCTGATGTTTTATAATGGGCAGTCAGCAAAGCTCTCTGTCCCTTGTTTCTCAGGAACACATTATCTGTATTATAATGGACAGCAGACAAAACCTGCTTTCTACTTCAGAGGGAGATAAGCTAGCTCTGTCTTCTAAGCAGCGTGTTTCACAAATGTCCTCGGGGAGGTAATTGAGAATGAACGCTGCTGGTCCTCGGTAAGATGGGCAGAAATGTGAGAGTCCCAGCGGAGAGCCGTCTTCCAGCAGTGGTACAGCGCTCTCTTTACGGAGGTCTTTCGAAATTTCTCTTAGCCAAGTCTGGTTTGGCAGGGTGAGGGTCACACATGTCTTTTATTAAATTTATCCCTCAGTATTTTGCAGGGCTTTTGGGATGCTGTTAGGAATGCAGTTTTAAATATTGCAAGTTCATTTTCCCATCATTTGTTATTGCAATATACAAAGATATTTGGTTTTCACCTTCTGATCACCTATCCTAGAACCCTGATAAACTCATTTATTAGTACTAGTAGGGTTTTTCTTCTAAGATTTTATTTATTTACTTTGAGAGAGAGAGAGAGAGAGCACTAGAGAAAGTAAGCATGAGTAGGGGTAAGAGGCAGAGGGAGAAGCAGGCTCCCCGCTGAGCAGGGAGCCCGATGTGGGGCTCGATCCCAGGACCCTGGGGTCACAACCTGAGCGGAAGGCAGACGTTTAACCGACTGAGCCACCGAGGCGCCCCATGTTCTGTTTAATTAAAAAAAAATTATTATTAGCACAGTAATAACCTAATATTAAAGGGAAATGTTAAAATTTGCCCATGATCTGCTTCTCATCTGTTGGAGGCGAGTCCTGAGAAATGGAAACGGGGCCCCATCCCCGGGTTCCAGGGGCCCACGGACCCCCTTCTCCATCCCCGTCCTTTGTAGGCAGACGGCTTCGAGGGAAGGCATTCTACAACGTGGGTGAGAAAGTCTACTGCCAGGAGGACTTCCTGGTGAGTCAGAGCAGGTGCCCGGCCGGCGCCATGGGTGGGAGCAGGGGAGGCGACCCTCCTGCTTCATGTGGAGGCCCGGGGCCAGGAGGCAGGTGCTGGCTGGGCAGCCAGGGCCCCTTTGTCACATGACCTTCCGGACCCTCTGTCCCCTCGCAGTACTCCGGGTTCCAGCAAACAGCTGACAAGTGTAGCGTGTGTGGACACCTCATCATGGAGATGGTGAGAACCTCCCCCAGCCTCCTGGAGCCCCCCTGCCACGGGTGGTCTTAGGACCCACCCTTTCACCTGTTGCAGACCTGCCAAGGGCTCAGAGCCAGAGCCTCTTCCGGGGGCTGTGCTGAGCCTTCCATCTGCACTGACCCTTCAGTGCCTCCCACCCCCAGATCCTGCAGGCCCTTGGGAAGTCCTACCACCCAGGCTGTTTCCGGTGCTCAGTGTGCAACGAGTGCCTGGACGGGGTGCCTTTCACCGTGGACCTGGAGAACAACATCTACTGCGTTAGAGACTATCACACGTAAGTAGCCAGTGTGGGGGCGGGGGGGCCATCACACGTGAGTAGCCAGTGTGGGGGCGGGGGGCAGGTGGGACTCCCGCCATGTCTCCTGCCTCCTCCGGAAGCAGTTTTCCAACGGGCCTGTCTGTCTTCTCTCCATTCTTGGCCTTGCCACTTCCAGCCTCCCCTGGTGCACTCAGTGGCTGCGGCAAGGCGTGGATCTCTGCCTTAAGCCCTCTCTTGCGTGATTCAGCCCCCAGCCGTCTCTTTACTTTCCTTGTCTTTGCCTGCATGTTCCCCCTCCTAGTGGGGGCCGGGGGACTCGCCAGGCTGCCCCACCTGCATCTGCCCCTCTGCTCCCAGTGGCGGGCTGGGCCTCTTCTGCCTGGGGTGGGGGCTTGGAGTCTCTGCGGCCATCCTTTCCCTGCCTGTCTGGTATCCCTGTGATGAGCAGCCAATCGTTCTGCCCTGCTGGGTCTTCAGGCCTGGCCCTCTGAGCCCTGGTCCTGTGCTACTGCCTTGCACGGGGTGGGAGCCCCACACAGATCCCTGAAACTCAGTGTGCGGCCAGGCTTTGTAGGGGTCTCAGCAAGGGGAGGCCCAAACCTGGACATTAGGGGGTAGGGAACTCACAGGGAGTGTGAGGGAGAGGGGAGGGAGAACCTGAAGCCATCCTGGAGGAGGTGATGGGGTGGATGTGAGTTGGCGAGCCAGATAAAAGGCCAAGAAGGCACCACAGAGGTGGCGCCCAGCCCAGTGTGTCCACACAAGGAAAGGGGTCCTGATGCTTGGGCCATGTCAAGGGGCTACCGTGGGTCGGTCTGCCTTGCTGCCCTTGGCCTCTGGCCACTCAGCTGGTCACTTCTGGTTTCCTTTATTCTTCCAGGGTTTTTGCACCAAAATGTGCCTCCTGTGCCCGTCCTATCCTCCCTGCACAGGTAGGAACCACTCACTGGGAGATGATCAGGTGCCTGGCCCAGCCCGGCCTCGGCCTGGTTCTGCTCAGGTTGGCCCCAGGTCTTGGGAGGGATGAGCAGATGCTCCTGTCCCATATCCCTCAGGCCCATAAGTACCCATGCATCCCTGCATGAGTTAGAAAGTTGGCCCTCAGCTTCACTGCCCATGGACAGAAGGATCGCTCCCAGGGTCTGTTAGCGGTGCAGGCTGAGGTGGTGGGGGGAGCAGGCGAGGGAAGGATGCAGTCCAGGCAGGAGACATCCTTGGGTGGGGCGGCTCTCTCGGCATTGTGTCTCCCGCACGTGCTGGTTCTGTCCCAAGCCGGCGTGCCTGGGGAAGCAGGCCTGGCCACGGTCTTTCCTGACTGCAAAGAATGGAAAAGAACGTGTGTGCACACAGTGACACCCACGTGACCGCTCTCGCGGATGCGTGTGCGTGCTGTCATGAGGCGTAGCTGCGGGAGGATGTCCAGGCGTGTGCCCTGCCCATGGAAGCAGCAAAGTGGGCGTGAATGCACGTCTGCCGTGACAAGACCGTGTTGTGTAGGTGTGTGCACCTCAACCCCCAGCGTGCTGATTGTGTGCAAACCCCATCTCGTCCTCCAGGGCTGTGAGACCACCATCCGTGTGGTGTCCATGGACAGAGACTACCACGTGGAGTGTTACCACTGTGAGGTGAGCCTGGGGCCCCCCGGGAGTGCTGGTGGCTGGGGCAGCCCCCCTCCACCGGGAGCTCCTTTTCTCTGTGTTCTGTGGGCCCTCCTCCTCCTTTATGATTCTGCCCCATTCGCCCTGCCCTCCCCAGGGAGCCCTCTCCCTTCTCCCCAAGATATGTTCTCAGCCCTTGTTTTGCATTCAGTCACCTATTTACTGAGGATTTACAGTGTGTGGGGGTGCTGGGGATGTACAGAGAATAAAAATAAGGAGTCCCCACTGTTACGGCAGTCATGAGTGCTCGCACAGTATCTGTACAGGGTTGGTATTGCTATCAAGGTGACTTGTCAGAGTACATAGGAGGCCTTGGAGAATCAGGGAAGGCTTTCTGGAGACAGTGACACCCAAGCTAACATTTGCAAAATGAGTTACCCAAGGAGGCCGTAAGAAAGGCATTTCTAGGCAGTGGAAGCAGAATGTGCTTAGGTGCAAAGGTGACTGCGTTGTTTTGAGCCAACGAGAAGTTGGCAGGAGCTGGGGACATAAGGCTATATGCCAGCTGAGGCGTGTGGACTTACCCTGAGGGTGGTGGAGAATGATCGAGGAGGATGACACGATGGCATGAGCATCTTGGAGAGGGTGCTCTTTGCCATGCAGAGAATGAACAGAGGAAGAGAGCGTGGGGCTGCGGTTCCCGGAGGAGGCTGGTGGGGTCAAGCCTGTGGTCTTGGCTTCAGGGTAGAACACTGAGTTGTGTGATGGTCAGGTAGCTAAAAGGGACTGGACTTGGGCCATGACTGGATGGGGCAGGTTGGGGGTTAGGAGGTGTCCATTAGGGCTCCGGGAAAGAGCGAGGGCGAGAGGTGGAAGGAAGAGAGGCTCTCATTTGGGACACTGGGGACTTCTGGGTGGAGATGTCCTTGGGGCAGCTAGACGTGCTGGAGTTCCAAGACTGGCTGTAAGTGTAGGAATTTGGGAGTCGTGGGCACACACAGCTCTCTCCTCTCTGATACTCTGCCCTGTGGTTTCTCATCGCCTTGGCCTCCCCGGATTCTCAGTGCAAGGAGACCAGTGGGCCCTCTTTGGGCAGCCTGGACAATCTCTTCAGGTAGTAAGTTGGGGCAGTTGTAGGGCTCACCTCATGAATCTCCCTTCTCTCAGAGATCACTGACCTGCCTTGTCTGTCATCTGGGGTCTGAGAATCAAGTGTTTCCTATCTTTTACCTGGTTTTTCACTGTTAAAGGTAGGATGGGAGATTCAGTCCTTGTTACTGTCATGGCCGGACACCTGAGTCTCATCATGAACATGTAGGTGAAGCCAGGGGAGTGAATGAAGTCTTCCAGAGAGAGCTGTGGGGGCAGGGGCGGGGGCTCAGGATAGCCCAAGCAACGCCAATGTTTAGGGGGTGCATGGAGGCAAAGCAGCCATATGGGGGCGCCAAGAATGAGTGAACAGAGGTAGGAGAGAAACCGGGAAAAGCACGTTGGGTTTAGGGCCCCAGTGAAAAGCGGTGTCCATGAGAAATCTTCAGTAGCAGTCAAGGGTCTGCTTGGAACCAGGTGGCCTCAGGTGGGGCAGGTGGCCCAGTGGGAACTGGGATCCTGCTGGGGGACCAGGGAAGGAGGAACAGAAGCCCGCATGGCCTACAGAAGGGCCACGGTGTCCCCTCTGACGTAACAGAGCATCCTGTCTGCTTCCTGGGGACGACCGCTAAGCACAGGGAAGGTTGATGCTGAGAGCCAACGTACAAGGTGAGCTTCAGGTGATGCACAGCCAGAGCCTTGGGGCTGCCGTCCCCAGGGAGACCCTTGGCCAGGAGTGAGGGTCTCCAGGCCTTCGTGCTCGGCCCCTCTCTGGAGCGTGGTGGGTAGCGGCGGGGCCCGGTCAGGGTCCGGTAGCAGGACAGGGACATTCCTGGAATGTGACTTGTGTGGAGCGGGGCAGGTGTTGGTCTCAGGGCCTTCTGGGAACAAATGTCAAAGCAGGCTAGCTCTGGATGTGGTGAGAGTGTGACCAAAGGGGTCTCCTTGGGCTGGGGGGCAGAGGAAGGAAGAAGCTGGGCAGTTGGCCTTGCCCCAGTCCTGACAGCGCACCCTCCATGCTGCCCTTCCCGCTTCCTGCCAGTCATTTACTGAGGTCCAGTAAGAATCTCACCACTTGTTAACACAGACAATTCACCTATAAAGTATACTGCAGTGGTAAAACGGTAAGGTACGGGACAGAAAACACAACTCCGTGTTTACTGATCTCTCCCGATTTTTCTCCTCCGTCTCTTAAGGTGCTGGGGTCAGGTAGCTGACCTCCCCACCTCCCCCCAGTCACCAGTGACCCCTGTGTGGTAGAATCCAGGAGACACTTCTCAGTTGTCACTGTCCTGACCTCTCGGCTTTCTGCACGCCGACCCGCCCTCCATGACTCTCTTCACTGTTTCTTTAGGACCATCCATTTTTAGTTTTCCTAATTTTTATTTTCCTCTCAAATCCCTCTGGCTCAGGTCTTCCTCTACTTTCCGCTTCATGTGGGAGCCTCTGCGGCTTAGCTGTGGGTCCGCTTCTCTTTTCTAGTTATCTGCACTCCCCGGGGAGACATAACCGGTTGTTTGTTGAGATTTTATTTATTGCAGAGAGAAAGAGTGAGCAGGGGGAGGAGCAGAGGGAGAGGGACAAGCAGACTCCCCGCTGAGCGGGAGCCATATGCGGGGCTCCATCTCACCACCCTGAGATCATGACCTCAGCCAAGATCAAGAGTCGGAGGCTCAACTGACTGAGCCACCCCGGCGCCCTAATCGGTTGTTGTTGAAAGCCATACCACATTTCTGGGCTGATGCCCCCGTGGCCTGCCCAGCCCTCCCGCAGATTCCAGCAGATTTCAGGCTGGTGTCCGGCTACCTCCCTCCTCACTGCCTCCTTTGGGAGTCTAAGGGGCATCTCCGGTTGGCTGTGGCTGACCCTGGGCTCCAGATCGCCCGCCCCCAAAGCCAAAGTCCTTCAGAAGTTGCACGGGGCCCCAGAGATCCGCCCCACCCCATTACTCTCCTGTAACCCCCCTCGCTGACTCTGGGGTTGGGGCTGTGTTCTTCCCTAGGACTGCGGGCTGCAGCTGAGCGGGGAGGACGGACGCCGCTGCTACCCCCTGGAGGGCCACCTGCTGTGCCGCCGCTGCCACCTGAGGCGCCTCCGGCCAGGCCCCCTTCCCTCACCGGCCGTGCACGTCACGGAGCTCTGAGCGCGGAGGGGGAGCCCCGCGTGTGCGTGCGTGTGCGTGCGTGTGCGTGTGCGTGTGCGTGCGTGTGCGTGAGAGAGCGCGCCCGGGCGGGATGGGTGACCAGGTCAGTGTCGCAGCTCCGTGTCCCGGGGGCGCGGCTGCCCCGCTAACCCCCCCCCACCCCCCACATGCCATCGAGCTGTCGTCCGAGGGGCCGGCCCCGCGGCGGAGCTGCTTCTATTTATTCACCGTCTGTGCCTCCTCCGGCCGCTTCCTTCCTTCCCGGCCCTGCCCGGCCTCCCCCCCGCCCCGCACCCCCCGACCCCGCCGCCCCACGCCGGCCTTCCGTTCCCGGACCCCTGCGCCCCGCGGCCTCGGGCCGGCTCCCAGACCGCGTGCAGGGGCGCGGGGTGCAGGGCCGCCCTCCTCCTTCCTCTCACCGGCCCTCCGTTTCCCGGTTCAGAAGGGGCCCCGTCTCAGACCTCTCCTGGAGGGGCAGGGGTGGGGTCTGGCAGGCGGGGGTTGGCGGAGGACACGCGTGTTTGCGTGTCTCATAAGAGCCTTTGGTGGGTGGGAAGGGCGTCCTGTGCGGGTGGGGTCACAGGAGGGGGTGAAGAATGACACCCTTGGGGAGCGGGGGCCTGCCGAGGAGCCCTGCCTTTGGCCACAGTGGGATTTGGTCACCGGGATTCTGATGGGTGTTTTCAGCCACCATCTCGCCCGGGTCTCCCCATCCCTGGCTCCAGGCTTGGGGACCACCCCTCCCTCCAGCCCCCTCCGCTCGCCATCCTTCAGCCTTGGGAAAAGAACCTTCTCACGCAAATTCCAGCCACAGGGCTCTCGGTCAAGAGACACCACGAGGGGGCGCCCTGTCCGCGTGGCAGGGCGAACACCTGTTGCAGGAACGCTCTGCGTATCAGGCTCCACGACAAAAGCGTATGATTTGACTTAAATTAAGTTTTTCCTTTGAGAATATTTTCATTTTCTTTAAAAGAATATAGTTTTCTTCTAAAAACTTGGCCCACGGTTGTTATTTCTTAGACAAATTACAAGAAACTCACAAATGTCCTATTGGGAGATCATATAGCTAGTTTTCAGGCTGTAAAAACGTTGTATTTTAACTATTTTTGTATAAATCCTTCTAAAATCTCAAAATATGTGTTTGCTTTTCAGACTTCGGAATAATGTGGGGTTTTGTGTCCGTGTCTGAAGAGCAGTGACCTAATGAAATGTGGTTTGGGGAAATGCAGATTAATTTTCTTTCTCTGAAAGACACATCAGCATTGGGAAGCTGGGACTTCTCAGCGATGGCTTATGTTGGATTTGTACCCGTGGGTGGCCCCTGCGGCAAGAGACCCCTAATCATGATAACCCATCAGTGGGATATTTTGACTTAAGTTCATTTGTGCCTGAGTCACCAGTGAGGTGCTCCTGGCCACTGCTCTTGCCCTCCCCTGTTAGATGTGGTCTCTTTGCTTGTAGGATCACAGCTGGGGAAGCAAGGCTGTAGGAATCAGAACAGAACGTTGTCCCAGATTGCCTTTTGGAATTCATCAGAGAGGAAGCGGCAGCTGTTGGGGGCCAGCTGGACTGAGGCCTGGAGCTGTGGGGCCCCCTGGCGGACTGAGGGGAGCAAGTACACGGGTAGTTTGGTGTTCACCAAGTATCTGTATAAAGGCAGAGGTTGTCCTGGGATGGGGGAAGTGTGTGTTTTCTGAGAAGGGGACTTTGATAAGATCAGGGTGGCTTCTTGGAGGCGGTGATCTCAACGGGGCAAGAGAGTACATTTCAGGAACGGGAAGCTGTTTCTGGCTTTCTCTTACTACTGAGCTGGGTGGTTTTGCTTTCTAGCCAGTTACTGCAAAGCTTTCTTCTGGTTGTCCTCTCTTTTTGCTTCTGACGTCAGAGCTGCTGCTTTGCCCTTGGTCTCTCCTTGCTGCAAACTCACCCGTTCTCTTTTCTCTTCCTTTGTGTGTGCTGTGCAGATGACCCCTGACCTCTCAGCCATGGAGGTCACCACCCACACCTGCTCCAGCCTGGTTACTGCGTCTCCCTAATCCAGCGTGGGGGGAGTCATCACATTGTGGAGCCCACTCCGAGTTCCTGGGCCATGCATTGTTGAAAGTCAGGGCAAAGGAATGCGTGGCCCTGGGGGGCAGTGGCCTTGTCTCTGTCTGCACTTGGCTCTTTTTCTCTGGGCTCCAGGGCTCTGTGTCGCTTCAGTCAGGACTGGTGACCGCCACTGCCCCTTTTACTGCAGAGCCTTTGCACACGCTGTTGGCTCTGCCTGGATCCGCTTTCCTTCCTGGTTAAATCCTTGAGCTCTCAGCCACAGGAATACATCAGGCTTCCAGGTATCACACGACACTGAAAACCCGGAATCTGGGGTCCTTGCTCTCCAAGCTCATTTTCCCAAAATCTTCCAGTCCGTTTTCAGGAGTTATGCTGACCTGATGGTTGTTGAGGCTGAGGGAGCGGTGTGAGAGCCAGACTCTGAGCCAGGTAGATTGCCCATGACTCTCCAGCCCTGGGTGCCAAAGCCACCTGCCGTTAGGTTATCTCCCTGGATGTTGGCACCTAACTGCCTTTGATCACTGCTGTACTTTGGTGTGTCATACTGATGTCTGTCTCCTCACTCGACAGTGTGCTCTCCAGGCCGGGATCTGTCTGGGCTGTTCACTCTTGTCTCCATGCTGCTCTGGCCTTTGGGGTCTCAACTCAGGACCCCACCACCACATTGGTTTGCAAATCTGAGTGCAGCCTTAGTTGCCCGTTGGAGGAGCCGGAGGTGGGATGTAAAGACCCAAGAATAGGGGTTTGCACAGATACTATACACACTGCACATCGGGTGTGTGCAGAGGTGTCCCAGGTGGTACACTTCCAGGTGTGCCTTTGTGCTGGGGTGCCTAGAGGCACAGACCTTTGAGTGCTGGGTCCCTGCTGTGAGTGTGTGTTTTGTGTGTGTGCGTGTGAAAGAGAGAGAGAGAATCCCTGAGATACCGAGAAAGATTGTGAGTGAGTGCATGTTTGAGAGAGAGCATGAGAGATTGATCAGGAGAGATGGTGAGAGAGAGAGACATTGTATGACAGATCGAGTGAGAGAATGGTGGGGAGCGAGATTGAGAAGGATATTGAGAGACAATGAGCAAGAGGGGGAGAGAGAAAGGGAGGGCGGTTGAATTAATTGAATGAGGCCAAGAGAACCTGGTGTCCTTTCCCCACTCATTCCTACAAAGTGGGGTGCCCCCAGAGCCAGGTGATTTGGAGGGCTCTCAGCCTCAGAGACCCTGTGGAGGCCAGCCCACAAACAGAAAAGGCCCAAATCCTGTATTTGACTGTAGGCCTGGGGTGGGGGTGTCTGCGATGGTGGGTTCTGGGAGTGGGTCTTGGGCTTGGGGTGCCTTCACGGTCCTGAGGGAGCAGGGGATGGTGTTGACCCCTCCTGGTCAGTGTTTCCTGCTGCTCTCTGGCCAGGAAACAGATGAGAGTGTGCTGAGCTACAGATGAACTTGAGTGCCTTCTGTGGGCTTGCTCTGCAGGAGCTAGAAGGGGTGGGCAGTTGGGGCAGTGTTCATGGGACCTGGGAGGGGCAGGGCATGGACACCCATGGAAGCAGAATTCTGGAGAGCAACGTGGGCCAAGGAATGACTTGGGGTCAGTGGGCTAGTCTGTGGTGCTAACTGACGCGTGGGGCTTTGCTCACCACCAGCTTCTCCCACCTCAACCCGCATCTCGCCTCTAGTTAGCAGATGCTCCCCAGGAGGGGTGAGGGCTGCAGCAGCTGTGGGGGTAGGAGGAGGCTCCACCTGCAGGGGCTCTAGCAGGGCTGTGGGTTGGGATCTGAGGGCAGGTCTGGGAGTTTGCTGGTGACCTTCCACCCAGGGCCGCTCTGGAGGACCTGGCCGTGCATGGTGTGTGGGTGTTGGGGCTCTGCGCACCCTGAGTGGGCATGGGGGTTTCCTGGCTGGGAGAGGGGTGCATGCTCTGGCTGAGATGTGGGGCTCGGAGATGGGAGGGGTCGGTGTGGCCCAGGAGGAGGTGGGGAAGCTCCTCTGGAGCCATCCGGGGAGGGATTCTGTGTGACAGTGTCTCCTGGGGTAGCAGGCCCATCCGGAGGCAGTGGACACTCACCAGGTGCCTGGGTCCTGGAGACAGAGCCCAGGGAGGGTGTGGGGTCCCGGGGAACCTGGAGAACCCAAGAGGGACAGAGCTGGAGCGGCAGGGTGCCTTCTCTCCTTCCATTTTTTTTCTCTGGCCCTGAGCACCCTGCTGGGCTGCCCTCCCAGAGCCTGGGGGTGGGGGTGTCACAGTTGACCTTTTCCTGTCCTGCAGGGGACATGGGGCCCCCCCGGGCCTCCCTGGGCTGGCGGGACTGTGGCCCTGAAACATCTGTACTTGGCAAGGAAGTGGCCAGCAGTGGTGCTGGTGTGCCTGTCACATGCTCACCTGTCACTCCTGTTGCCCCACAGCAGTGCACTTCCTCTCCACACCTGTGCAGGTGCACCCGCGTGCCACACCACCTGCCCTGTCCACGGGGTATGTAACTGTCTCACAGACTCCACCTCCCGGGCCTGAAGCTGCTAGCACGCATCTGCCCAGGCACCTGTGTGACGCAGCCGGCTCACTTCTCTGTGACAGTGCCTGGTCCATCCGTGTCCCTGTCCTCGGTCAGCCTTGCGGACCCTGAGGGTGGGGCTTGAGTCCAGGAGAGGCATTTCAGCAGGCCCAGTGTTTACTCAGCCTGCTTCAATCCCAGATTGTTTGGGAAACACGCTCTTCCCCCTGAGCCAGCCGCAAGCCTCTTCTGCTGGGCCCTCTGCCTGGGGTCGATTTCAGCCACTCTCCGCTGTCCTTGCAGCCAGACGGGGGCGTCGAGTCTCGGCCTTCCCAGCTCGGCTCAGCTCTCAGCTGTCACCCACCATGTGGTTGACTATGACCCTGCGGAGGGGGCCTTCCTCCAATGTGGGGAACAGGTCTTACGGGGAGTGATGGATGAGGCCCACTGGCCGAGGCGAGTGTGCAGAGAAGGCTCTGTCTGTGAGGAGACAGACTGACCAGGCCAGTACCACATGGACTGGGAGGCAGAGAGGGGATCCACCCTGTCATGTATGGGGGTCAGGAGCCACTCATGTGGGTGAGGAGCCCCACGGTCCTAGGGGAGGACCACAGGAGCCCTGGGTGGGAGTGGTGGGGTCTCGCTGCTGAGTCGGGGGAAAGTTTGCATTTAGCTGTGAGGTGGGCCCACCTTCCCTCCCTGTCCCCTTCTTTTTTTCTTCTCGCTCTTCTTATTTATTTATTTACTTTTAAAGATTTTATTTTAAAGTAATCTCTATGCCCAACGTGCGGCTTGAACTCACGACCCCAAGAGATCAAGAGTTGTATGCTCTCCTGACTGAGCCAGCCAGGCGTCCCTCTCCCTTCCTTAAAAAAAAAAAAAAAAAAGTATTTAAAGACTGTTATATTTGGTCTGACTGGGGAAAAAAAGAATAACTCACTGGCTTTTGGACTGAGCACCTGGGTGGATGTATTCCCCGTTCCCTGGAGGGGAAGGTGTGGTAGAACAGGTTCCGTGTGGGAGTGTAGATGGAAAATTCTGCTTTGCCATATGGAGGCAAAGGACAGGCACCACTGTGTCTGTCACGTGGAGCAGGCAGTTGGATATTTAAGTTTGGAGCTCAGGGAGGAAGTCAGGGCTGGCGATTGAGAGGTGTTTGAAATCATCGCTGAGATCACGGGGAAGGAGGGTGAGACAGAAAAGGGAAGGGGCCCCACATCTAACTCCTGGCAAAGGGGTTGGAGCAGCAGTGGCTGGTGAGGTGGGCTGGCCGGGTAGGGAGGGTGGATTAAGGTGGCATCAGAGAAGCCTTGCAGAAAAAGGGCAGGGTCTGCAGCAGGGGCTTTGGAAAGATGGAGATCACCGTGACCTGAATAAAGCTGTTGCAGGGCAGCAATGGGGCACAAGTAGGCCGGAGCCCCCTGAGCTGAGGGACGGAAGGAAGAGGAAGCATCAAGAGTAGCCAGCTCTTTCAGGTGTATTGGGAAGAGGTGCAGCAGGGGCAGGGGACTTGGGGCAGGGAGAGTTCTTTTAGTATGCGGAGGCCTGTTTGAAGCTCCCTGCCCATGTCCGTAAGAGCATGTTTCCCCCCTGCCATGGGCATCCCAGGGTTGTCTTGCCCACCAGACCCCACTCTCCAAAGCGACAGGGTGTGGGACTGCAGCAGTCACAGCTAGGTCCAGCCCCTCGTCCAGCATCTGGCTCCAAGGATGCTGGTGGATGCTGGTGAAGGGAATGGGTCGGTACCCATAAAGCACTGGGCACACTAACAGGTGCATAATAAATGCTCAGTAAAAGTGAGTTACTGTTGTCTGGCGGATGGGGAAGCCGCTGAAGATGGGGTGGTAACAGTTCTAGAGGCCACGGTGCCACCAGGGAAGCCTGGCCTGGGGGTGCTGCCTCCAGGTCCCGAAGGATGGAGGGGCTGGAGGTGCCCAGCAGCATCAGGCACGCCAGCTCCGGGAGTCAGTGCGGCAGCCAGCCCCGGAAACGGATCACATCACCACCCAGGAGCTCCCAGCTCCAGGGGAAACCAGGAGAGACCCTGGAGGGAGGGGCTACCTAGGGAGAGGAGTCATTTATTGAACCTCACCAGGATGGTGTGTCTCTCAGATTCATCATCCCCCAGCCACCATGACGCATACGGAAGGTGCCAACAACTTTGCGCTGACTGGGGAGGCATCTGGTGGTGGCTCCATGGAGAACCTGAGCCAGAGACTGGTCACCGGGGGCCCTCTTGACTTCCTGTCGGGCCAGAGAGATGTGGATCATCCCTGTGTGAGGAATGCACAGATTCTCTTTTCGACCAGCTCGATGTCCCTGAAGATGCGTGTCAGGACGGCAGACGCTGTTGGCGATCTTCAAGCAAATGAACGAGGGTGACCGAATAGCTGCAGACAAAGCTAAAGGAGCCAGACTGGCAGAAAAGCTTGCGAGGGCCCAGGCTGCACCGAGATCCTGGATCCAGAGGCAGCTTGGTACCCGAGGGAACACAGCCCATATAAATGACGACAGCCGGAAGTGGACAATGAGCCGAGGAGGGTGGAAAACTGAGTGCACTCTGCCCGGGTGCAGCTGGGCCAGCTGCAGACGACCAGCCTCTTTAGTGCAGCCTTTCACATCTGGCACAGAGGACACTTTGGTACGATCAGGATCTTCAGACCGGGTCGCCTGCCCACTGTCCCTGGGGGCACGGAATGAGGTCAGTGCTGCTTGGGGCCGGAAGGCGTTGGTGCTCTACTCCCTGGACGGGCAGATGGGTCTGAAGTTTCAGAGGTACCGACTTGCCCCCTGAGGAAAGCATTCCATTCTGGAGCCTCTGATGGACCAACAGAAGTTGCTGCGATTGTCTTGTTCTGGAACTTCTGACCACGTGATGGTGGCTTTCTGGGGCGCTGTGCAGCAGATCAAAGAGGGAGGTGGAGAAAGGGAGATACCCATTTTCGTCTTCCTCACAGGAAGGCAAGATTGAAGACCCAGGAGGCGGTGTGGCTTCAGTGCCATCAAACCCGTCTAACCCCGATGGAACAGTGGCCCGAAGTTCTCCACTTCATGCTGGCAGATTTTAAGTGGGGTCTGGCTTGGGCATAGTTTTGTAGCAAGACTTCCTTTTTCTCCTTCGATGCCTGCCCCAAAAGCTTTGTGTTCTGTTTGCAAAAATAAATGTTTTGAATCCCATTCAGATAATATCAAACAGCATATGTTTACAATACTAGAAAAGAAAAAAAAAGTCCACAAAGCCGCTTTATTTTAAAATATTGGAGGGTCGGTTCCGGAAGTACAACCTGCCGTGTACAGCCATGTAGTAATGCCCAGTCTGCTCTGTTGGAGGCATGAAGTGGTGTTTGTTACTGTTTGAGACATTATGGGGAGGGTTAATTATTTGTAATGAAAGGTTTGCAGCAGCCTGAGAAAAAAGCAAGTTGCTGTTACTGCTCAGGTGAGCAAACGTAGGATAAGGCCATGTCTGGAGTTTGTACGTGGGTCCCTCTGTGGGACAGTGTCTGTGTCCCTTCAGCGATGCTATGTATGACTTTGCACATGCGTGGGCCCACCTTGTATCCTAAAACCTGCCCCTGCACAGCTGGGACCACCTGCTGGGAAGAGGCCACACGACCCGGAGACCCAGAGACGGGGCAGGATGCGTGAAGACCCCCAGGCCCCTGCTTTGGCAGTTCCAGGCAGACATTCGTCTGGCTCTGAGGTCACAGCAGTGTCCCTGACTTGGGTCAGCTCCCTCCTCAGAAGGGACCATCGAGCCAGCTGCAGACCTTCTGCAGACCTCACTGCTAGGACCATGTCCATTGGATGTCCCTGTGGCAGGTGGGTCTCCAGGGCCAGGGCCCTCTGAGCAGCCCTCCGTGCAAGTCCTCCCCTGGGTCTCATGGCCGTTCTGCGGTTCTCCCCTTCCTCCTGTGCTGCAGACGCTCCCTCACCCCGCGGTGCTGTGCTCAGCCCCCTTTGGTCCTGATTGTCTCCTTTCTCCATCCTACTCACAGCTGGGGCAAGACCCTGCCCTATGTCTTCATCAAGAGGAAATGTGGTCCTACGTTCTCAAACAGAAACTCACTGGTCTGCATTTGTCCATGTCTCCTTGCCACTGTCACCGGGGGAGTGGCTCATAAGCATGTTCGAGACCCCCCCCCATGTTCAAGCACGTTTGACAGTCTCCCTAGTTCCGTGCTGCTCTCCAGTTTCAAGTGGAGTCATGGTTTTCCTTTTCTTTTTTCCTTTTCTTTTTTTCTTTTTTTTTTTTTTAAGATTTTATTTATTTATTTGAGAGAGAATGAGAGAGAGAGAAAGCACATGGGGAGGGGAGGGTCAGAGGGAGAAGCAGACTCCCTGCTGAGCAGGGAGCCCGATGCAGGACTCGATGGGGGACTCGATCCAGGGACTCCAGGATCATGACCTGAGCCGAAGGCAGTCGCTTAACCAACTGAGCCACCCAGGCGCCCTCTTTTTTCATTTTATATTGACACATATATCATGTATGCTGAGGCTAGAAAACATGTAAGTACAATTTAAAGAAAACATGCCAGGGGATCTACTTCCTACCTTGAGAAAAAGAATATATATTAGCTGAATTCCACATGGGCCCTGCTCCGGGCACACCCCCCTGTAGTTACCCCCTCAGGCATAACCAGCCTGTTGAGTGATGTATTAATTACCCCTGTGCTTTTCTGTATTGTTTTGCCACCAGGTAGCCTTAAACAATTTATTGTTTAGTATTGAAGCTTTGGGACTGTCTTCTATTACTCGAATCACCCTGTGGGCTTTCTTCTGTGTTTACTTCTGCTCAGTCTCACATTTGAAAGATTAATGCATGTGTTTGTGTGTGGCTGGAGTCCTTAATTCTGATTGCCGGGTAATCTCCCATTGATGAGCATAGCGCAAGGGATGTAACCATCATACTGTCGATGGCTATTTGGGTCCTTTCTAGTTGATAGCTTCTGTAGAGAGCATATCTGTGTGCATTATTATAACTATTATCTTGGTTCATCTATTTAAGAATTTCTCTAGGTTATATGCCAGTGAGTCATATGGTATGTGTAATATTTCCTGTTCCTAGATACTGTAAAATCATTTTCCAAAGTGGTTGTAACAATTTACGTATAACCCAAATTCAAGAGCATAGCACTTTTACTCGCCTTCTTCCTTTTTGCTCTGCTGTGTTACATCTAATCTGTATTATATATGAATTCATCTATGTCACATTTTTAAGGATAAAATACATCATGAGTTTATACTAATACTTCCTTTATATATATATATTTTTAAAGATTTTACTTATTTATTTGAGAGAGAGAATGAGAGAGAGAGCACATGAGAGGGGTTAGGGTCAGAGGGAGAAGCAGACCCCCTGCCGAGCAGGGACCCCCCCCCCCCAATGTGGGACTCGATCCCTGGACTCCAGGATCATGACCTGAGCCGAAGGCAGTCGCCCAACCAACTGAGCCACCCAGGCGCCCCTAATACTTCCTTTTTTATTAAAGATTTTATTTATTTGTCAGAGAGCAAGAGAGAGAGCACAAAAAAGGGGAGCAGCAAGCAGAGGGAGAAGCAGGCTCCCTACTCAGCAGGGAGCCTGATGGGGGGACACGATCCCCGGGCCCCAGGATCATGACCTGAGCCAAAGGCAGACGCTTAACCGACTGAGCCACCCAGGTGCCCCTATACTGATACTTCCAACTCAAATTCAGGGTTCCAGCATTTTGACGTTTTTTCTCTCTCCTATGTTGCACATCGAGTGTTCTGTAACATCTGTGTTTTCTTCTAGGATTTTTATGGTTTCAGGTCTTACATTTAAGTCTTTAATCCATTTCGAGTTAATTTTTGTGAGTGATACAAGATAGGCCCCCAATTGCGTTCCTTTGCACGTAAATATCATTTCCCTGAGACTAGTTATTGAAGAGACCATCTTTTTCCTCTTGGGTGTTCATGGCTCCTTTGTCAAGTATTAGTGGACTGTACATACATGGGTTTATTTTATTTTATTTTATTTATTTTTTTTAAAGATTTTATTTATTTATTTGAGAGAGAGAATGAGAGATAGCACGAGAGAGAAGAGGGTCAGAGAGAGAAGCAGACTCCCTGCTGAGCAAGGAGCCCGACATGGGACTCGATCCCGGGACTCCAGGATCATGACCTGAGCCGAAGGCAGTCGCTTAACCAACTGAGCCACCCAGGCGCCCCATACATGGGTTTATTTCTGGGCCTTGGGTTCTGTTCCATTGATCAGTGTGTCTGTGGCTATACCAGTGCCACACTGTTTTGATCACTACAGCTTTGTAGTATAGTTTGAAATCAGGACTTGTGATGCCTCCAGCTTTCTTTCTCAAGATTGCTTTGGCTGCTCAGGTCTCTTGTGCTTCCATATGAATTTTAGGATTGCTTTTTCTATTTCTGTGAAAATGCCATTGGAATTTTGATAGTGATTAGGATTTAATTAGTTATTAATTACATTGAATTTGAAGATGTTTATTGCATTCTGTTTTTGGTGAAAAAAGCAAATTTATTTAGCACAACTTTTGGAACTACACAAAGTGTAACTGGGTAAGAAGCATTTTTCTTCCTTCTTTTTTCCCTTTTTTTTTAAAGATCTTATTTATTTATTTTTGTGAGAGAGAGTGTGCGAGAGAGAGCATGAGCTGGGGGAGAGGCAGATGAAGAGGGAGAGGCAGACTCCCCGCTGAGCAGGGAGCCTGATGCGGGGCTCAATCCCAGGACCCTGGGATCATGACCTGAGTCGAAGGCAGACACTTAACCGACTGAGCCACCCAGGCGCCCTAAGAAACATTTTTCTACTGCTAGTCCATTTCTGAGGACTAAGTCATGAACTGCTCCACTGTAATTAAATATTTTTTGCAACAGTTGGGTGCCAAGTTTAACATTCATTTATTTTCTCCTTTCAGTACAAGCAGTAAAGAACCATTTTCTTTCAGTTTCTTAACAATATGCGGATGTTCAACAAGTTCCTCTTTCACAGCTGAGGGTATGTTGGGTCAATTTGACTGAGCTTTTAATTGTTGAAATTCTTCATCCTCCAATATATCAAATATCTCATATTCAACACCAGTACTATTTAGTATTTCCAGAATTTATTAGCTGCATCCACATTTTGCTTCCTGTTGCTTTTCATAAAGAGCATTACAGAAGCTTTATTTTCTCTAATTTGGGAGCTTTGGGGCAAATTGTATCTAGTTCTTCAGATGTTTCTAGCTTCTTAATTCAATCAAGTCCTCCTGTGAGCTCTCCAGAAACAGAGCTGGGGACAGGTGGGCCAATTGGAATACGTTTTGAGGCCCTGATGAACTTCTTCATCTGAGAGGATATCAAAACTGCTAAACCAAAAATTGTGTTTGTTAAGAATTTCTGCCATCTGCTTGCTGAAACTGCAGCATGGTTCCTAAAGAATTCCTTTCATAAACAACATGCAAGGGGCAATAGGGGTGAATTTCTTCAGGCATAGGTTGAGATCTTTAGGATGCTCATTACCAGTGGGTGGAAAGGAACCTCCTAGGGGGACCTGGGTGGCTCAGTCAGTTATGCATCTGCCTTCGGCTCAGGTCATGATCCCACATTGGGCTCCTTGCTCAGCGGGGAGTCTGATTCTCCCTTGGCCTGCTGCTCCCCCTGCTTGTGCTCTCATGTGCTCTCTCTGTCTCTGTCAGATAAACAAAATCTGTAAAAGAAATTAAAAAACAAAAGGAACCACCTAGATGCATGTCCCTGAACTTTTTTGGTCAACTCTGGGGTATGTGCATCATCTAATTGGTCAATTTTCGGAGAATTCTTGAAAAACAGAAAGTTGGGGACTAATTTCATTTTTTAAAGATGTATCAGGAACAGCTTTAGCTTCCAACTTTATAGACGATACTTGGGGATGTTCTTTGGCTAACTCTGCCGTTACGATGTTCATCTGGGTATACCATGGTGCCCATGGTGCCTGAAAATAAAACACAGGAGGGACTTGGCTCAGGTGCAGCAGTTCCTCAAAATGCCAGGCTGAGCCAACCTCCACCGTGACCTCTGTTGCCTCATCAGCCCTGAGACCATGCTGCGGCCAGTAGACCGGATTGAACGTATATAGACTGGCTTTGGGTAGAATGGACATTTTAACAATATTCTTCTGAACC